GAACAAGACCAAGTTGTGATAACGAGGTCAACCCACTTCTAGTATCCCGTTTTGCCTATTAAATCCTCGCTCATCCAGAACTGGTTTTATAAAGGACTGCATTCGAAGACGTTTCATCGGCAGTCAAAGTGTAATCCTCAATGAGTATCAACAGCCCCAGTCCAAAAATAATGTTTGGCTTTGATTGTGCCAATTTTCAAAGTAGTCCTCTTCGATTGGTGGCTTAAAATACTCCCATTTTTTCATGGTTAAATCTTACATTTTTACATCCATGCTGGATATAAGGCAAAACCCTGTTCAACTTGGCTAAAAAATTAGGAACTGTTGTGACGCTAACACCAAAATAAGGCTTTTGAGGTGGATATTCGGCGTTTTAACGAAGACGAATGCGGCTCTATTCCCTCTGGGTCTGGTGAAAAAGATTCGTCTATTCGTCTTCCTTCGGTCTCGGTGAACAGAATCGGCAAGAATACTTAACTTAAATATAATTAATTTCGTCAGGTATTGTGCAAAATAGATATTTGCTTCAATGAAAATCCCATTGTAGCTATTAATTGGGTGATATTGAAGCTAAACTGCAGATATCAGCTCGTGAATCATCTGGCAGTCATTTAAGCATTACTTATGAGTAATCATCATGGATATTCTTTATTCGCCCGTTCTATTTCCCTTTTTTGCATGCCATGTGCAGCCAATAAACGCCTCTTCACTATAGGCAGTACGGATGGTATATTGGCCTTGAAGGATCGCCTCGACCGGGAGGCCTTTCTGGAGCACATGTTGGTGATTTGTGCTCGTGACGGACCTACAGAAGTATCCTATGCACAGCAGCATTTGAAGCCTGAAGAAGATCCTGTAGCCGGTAGACAGGAGGCGTCGTCCTTCCCGGTTGTCACGCTCGCCAGTCCCGGAACAGTGGCCGCCGTACGACTGTCCGCCTGTCTTGAGGTGCATGTCACGGTTGGTGATGTCAACGATGAGCCGCCTCGTCTGAGTCTGGCTTCATCGAGTACGACGAGTCAGAACGTGGTTCGGCTCAGCCTGTCGGTGTCCGAGGACGCCGAGCCCGGCAGTCGAGTGGGCGAGCGTCTCGAGTTTGTCGACGAGGATGTCGCAGCATCCGGTACCCTCGGCGAAGGCTTCGAAGTGCGTCTGGTCGCGGCCGAGTTGGGGTTGGAGCCGGCCTTCGGTTTGGTACCGGCTGTTGCCGCGTCGAGCGCCTGGCGACTGCCCAACTTGCCGGGCCGTGGGCCTCGTTGCCAGGCCTACTGGTTGATGACACGACGTCGGCTCGATCGAGAGCAGACGGCCGTGCACAGATTCCGCTTGCTGGCCGTCGACCCTCGGGCGAACAAGCCGGGCCGGAGTCGAGGCAGTGGCCAGGACTCGAGCCCAGGGTTGACAAGCACCGTTGAGGTTGAGGTGCGACTGCAAGACGTCAACGACTGTGCTCCACAGTTTCTGGCACCCGCAGCCTCGGAATCGGATACCACTAAGCCTCGGCCAGCAGCGCCGGACGGCGTAGACACGCAAGGCGGTTGGCCTGACAACCCAGTTCAGGTGTCCTGGCGTGAGGAGTCCGGTTCGCGAATCTACAAATTGGTCGCTCGTGACAACGACGCGGGGCGAAATGGTTCGGTGGAGTACTCGCTTTTGGGACTGGTACCGGCCGCCTCCAACATCCGGTTTGGCGGAGACGACGGTGCGGGCGCGAAAGACCAAACTGGAAGTCGTAAGACGAAACCAACGAATGGCCAACCCAACGACAGAGGCCAGCCCTTTTTGTCCGTCGAGCCGGAGACTGGCTGGATCCGTCTCACAAGGCAACTCACTAAAGCCGACTTGGACAGGTGGGCTCATAGAAAGGCTAAAATATATTTTTATTAATATTTACCTATTAAGCATTAATATTATTATTAGTTGTTTTTTTTATTGTTTCATTCCACCTTGCCTTACATTTTCCCTATTCGTGAGACTGCGCCATGGTAAATGATGTCTACTATAATTACAATGTAACATTATGCAGACCTTTAGAATAGATTTAATGACTGCTAGTCGTATTTTTTCACTCAAATGAATAGGCTTCATGCTTTAGTTGAAGTTCGCATAGCCTTGCTTTTATGAAGATATTATTGTATAGGGTTGGTCGCATTTTTGACCTTGCCTAGCTCCCATTGGCAGCCCCAGTGGTAGTCGAACCCCAGTTGTGGTAGTACACGTTGACAACAACGCCAGACTACAACGAATGCCCTTGGATCACAGGGCAAAAGTTGATTACAGTAAAGCCTAGGCCTTTCCCATATCACATTTATGTGATATGATCGCCGATGAAGCAAAGTAATATTTACAATAAAAATTTAACATATTACTCGTTTTTTGGTTATAAGTCGAGTTTCGAGAATACCGGTAGGGTTGTATTCATCCTCTTTAGTTTTAACTAATTAAGGACTCGTATTCGAATGTTCCCACAATGAGAATAGTAGGTCTCAACTACAAGTACTGCATAATCTAAACATTGTTGTACTAAAATATTGTAGTGTAGTCGATTGTTATATCAAATACAATTATACTTCATCGACATTACCACCAATACTATACGCTGCTCTAGCAGAGCCTGGGTTCGATTCCGGTTTGGGGTTCTGATGAGACCTGGGCCGGGTTTAAAACTGCAGTCCCCTCTGAAGGAAAATACCTTTTGGAAGGCAAGTCTATGTGAAAGTAAGTGGGAATATAAGGCTAACTTATAGCCTTGTGAACAATTCAACTACCATTCCTTCATTTCCTTAAACAAACAGTGCGAATACAATACTTATTCAAGTTGGACTAGTAGTCTCGAAAATTATTTAAGGAATTAAAACTTTCAGTATTGGTTCGACCTCGTTTCCACAACTTATTCGGAGCGTCAGGAAGACTCTGTGGAAAGTACCTAGTCCCGTGTTTTCTGCCATAGCATTCGTGAATTCCAGCTTCGGACCATCGACTGGATAGATTTCCAAACGTTTCGCCGGCAACGTAGTCGCCATCGTTAGGACAAAATTACAATTTCTCATAGTGCCTTAAGTGAAGGCAATTATTTTCTCCAATTCTCTCTTCAACCGTTTCACAAGTTCTCCCTGACGCTCCAACCAAGTTGCGAAAACGAGGTCGAACCAACACTATAAAGATAAAGGAGACTTCAACCAAACAGAGTACCGGACTATTTTGCCATAACAATAGAGTAGGTTTTCAAGACCCTAATTTTTTGTGTCGAAAATGTTATTATCCGTCTTCATCACCTTATGCGACACATTGTTACCAGCATTAATTCAAGTTATCTTTGTAGAAAATTCTTTAATAAATGTCACATGGAAGAGGCATAGTCCATCTTGAAATTCGCATCCGCCCTATGAAACGAGGTCATTCTTGGATCTGTAGTTTAGTGGTGACATGTCTACGTTATAGGTTTCACAACCATAAACCTCGTTTGCTTGTCAACGGGTTGGTGATGAGACGCGGGCGAAGTCGAAACTTCCATCCAGCCTGTATGATAATATCTTTTTGTTAGCTGAGTTAAGTAAAATTGATTGGGAAATTTAGGTATACTCATAAAATTGTGATAAAATTCAACCAATAGTCTTTTATCTACTTATCTGACCTATGGTGACTTGAACCCATAAGCTTGAGGCATATAACTTGGTTGATAATTTAATGCGGTTCACGTTTTACTTAAAAACGAAAGTTGCTTAAACCGGATTCTCGAATCGGCTCCACCAGAAACACCAAGTGCATTGAAGTGGAGGATATTGGATTTGGCGAATAGGCCCTCTGCTCACATTTCAGTGATCGCGACTAATCCGTGTTGTGCTTTGCTCTCCAGCATGCGTACTTTATGAACTCTTCGTCAATGAAATGAGCCAATAAAAATGACCATTTACGATTATACTGACGTCTAATGCATTGTTCTTTGCCCCCAAATTAGGCTCAGCCCCACATGATTTTTGATGGACGAATTTGATGCAAAAGAAGGACTTGGATGTAGTCGCAGATCCAACCCCACCTGGGATCCTACAATGGTGATGTGTGATCGGATATGCGTATGTGTGTATATTGTGTGTATGCAATGAAGTTAGTTGGATAAAAGACTCATTGCAAAGTTGTATGGGTCCAAAATGTAAATTGGCTAAATGTATGGTTAATGGAGGACACCATTTAGAGTGGTATGAAACGCAGTGTATTTCATGATAAGAGACTCCCCATCTGGGCGTAAAAATAAAGACCAATTTACTGTATAGAGGCAGATGACGTGTGGACTTAAGTGAGACTTATTTTAGGCTGCCATATTGTTTTATGTAGAGGTAGAGGCAGCAGGAGAACAAACGATTGGCCTCGTATGATTTTAGAAATCCCATGAAACTTGCACACACAAACACACACAAGAGCACAATTCACATATAAATAAAGGCCTTAGCACTCAAGTTTAAGTTTGTACGAAAACAACAGTGATCATATTCACATGGTCTTCATGCTTCAACTTCGCTTATATACAATGACTTATGGCAATAGTGAAGCACGAACTAGTGTCAGCATACGACAAATACAATTATTTATGACAGATTGTAGAATTTTCCAACTACTTTTCTTATTCCAGATATTGTGAAAGTTCAAAAAGTAATTTATTATGAATAAAACAATGTCATAGATTGTAGAGGCGATTGTTCATCGATAATTTCTTTATGAAATGTGATATGAGGGGGCCTGGTTTCCCTTGAACTCACCGGCGGGAATAACGAATTACCGCGATGCTCATGCTGATAAAGCCTAAGTGAAGCCGAAATCGCCGTCAGCTCTGGTCGCTGAACCCATTCTGGACATATGATGAACACATTTCAGAGTTCACTTATAATTATTGTCTTTAGTCTTGCCTATTCTGAAAATAAACACGAGGTTGCTAACTAAATCATGGGATGCCTCATTTAGATAGTCACATTAGTTATAAAAAGTAAGTATGATTGCCTCTTTTCACATTTCGTGGTTTAGCGTTATGACGACTTTTTTGCTGATGACGATTTATGCCAACTGGACTTTGCCCAAATTAATCAGGGTTACAGGGCGAAAAGCCAAGGACTTGAAACAAAAGCACCCAATAAGTGTTGTATTCACCCTGGGTTACATAAGTTGATAAAGGGTAGTTGAACTTTCACACAATCATATGAAGAGGTCTCCTGGCTTTTATCATGTACGATGGACTGCCGTTACACCTCGCCTCGGTTTTAGCCGCGCGCTCAACCGACAAGGTCAGCTAAATACAACCATTATTCACTATTCATTGGTAGTTTCAACATATACTCAATCTGTATTTAAACAGTATGGTTGATTGTATTGCCAAATTCAAGTTTGCTTTATTTACAAACCCACTACAGGATGGAACAGTGAAGTGGGTTCGATTTTTGTCAGAGGAGAGAAGAAGACACAGGCGAGGTCGGAACTGCATTACGGCCTGGATGAGAATGCCTCAAGGAAGGCATGGTCAAAAGAAACTCAATGCTACATCTCATATTATATATATCATGTCATCGTAGAAAGATACAACTGGCTTTAATCACATAATATGGTCACGGGTGTAAACAACTCCTATTAATGATCTACTGGAGGTTTTCAAGCCTACTTACTACAAATATAATCCTCCTTCGGTTTCCGGTGAGGCCAATTCACCAAGACCTGTTAACCAAGATTTTTGATAAAGTGCAAATTCGACTCACGCCAAAATTATTAAGTGACTCTTAAAAACCCAGTTTTTTACATATCTACAAACTACGTTTGTCCGTCGATCACGGAGCATCATTTGCATATCGAGATTGCTACCCTAAGCCAAGTTAAAACTAAACATTAGCTCAACTAGTGGATTCTGAATTGGTAGCCAAAGTATTGCAACATAATTTCTGCTGCCGGTAGCTTTGGATCTCCAAGGCTTGACAGTTTTGTTAACCACATTCAGGAAGATTACAAAAAAACACATACCACCAAACCTTCGTGCGTCTCTGTTCAAGTGTAAAACCCGAGAAACAAGATATTTGAAGAGGATATAATCAGCGAGAATTACGCCTACTTCTTAAGGAATTTGGATAAAATAGGCATTTAGCAAGGATTGGAAAAAAGGGATACTTGTATCATGTAGATCAAACGAACCCCAGATAAAGGAATTTATAGAAAGGGAACTTTGTTGGACAATTGTAAATCAAAATAAGGAGATTTCAATTAGAGGAATCAAGCCAAAAAATTACAACCATCGTCCACCTGTTAGCCCAGATACGAGTGATCTCGACCACATAACGCACACACATGCACATACCACGCTTATACAGACAAGAATTTATATTTATTACAAATCTGGAGACATACCCTCGTTGGGCTCTTGTCTCGAGGGTTTACAGATGGCGGTGATCCATAAAGTTGTGCTTGCCAACGACATTTACCAACTTATATAAACGCGCCAATCTGAATGAAGTGCATACAAATTGCATTAGTAACATTAGAAATGATACAAGAGTAGGCTAATAGGTGAATTGATAGAGATCTACACTGGCTATTTCAAAGAAATCTTGACCTATAGTCCTCAGCATATGTGAAATAAAGTGATGGAGGTGGTCAAAAATGATAATGAAAAAATCCAGTTTATTAAGCTAAGAGTACTTGCATTTTGACAACAATCCTCATACAATTTTTGGGACAGTCATGTGATGACGCATATTGCTGAGATCGGGGATCATAGTAAGAAAGTAAGATAATCTAAAGCAGTTAAGGGCAGGTGTCTACTAGACAATTGGCAATCTTGAATGAGCTTGATGGATGCGAATACAGTCCTGTAAGATAGAGCAGATACCAAAACAGGAGTGAGGAGAGATACCACA